CCCCAAAACCCCAAAACCCCAAAACCCCATTACTAAGTGTAAGCTTTGCAATTCAGTTTAATAAATCTCTAGTTAAAAATATACTTTCATTTATTAACTATCATATCATAATGTAATTTCCATTCAAAACTATACACTCTGTAATAATTTAAGGAGCTAGTTAATATCCTTTATGCTTCTATAATTTGCATCAGTCTTTTCTATTTTCAATTTAATCGTATTATTGTTTTTATTAAGTTCCTTTTTAAAATTGAGCAAGCTAAATAACTACATCAACTAGGGATATTACCCTATTTTCTTGAAAAATATCTGATTGCTAATATCTATCTCATAACTCTTCTTTTTCCTCTCTTACAATTCAGGGTCAAATTCATCCTTAAAGTTTATCATTTTTGGATCTATTTAGGCTTTCAAATCACAAAGCGTCAGAAATTCATCCAGATAGGTAGTCACATATGCTATTACAAATTTCAATCGATAAATGTCCATTTTGTTGATTAATTCTATGAGGATCTTAAAGAGTTCGAAGTTTTAAAATCTAATCAAGGCAATAACTCTGTTTAGAGGATTATCAGCCATAACTTAATCTAGTTTATTGACAAATTTTGATTACTCTTCAGGCAATCCTGACTTTTACAAAGAAGGAAAGTCAAATCTGGCAGCTCTTCTTTGATCTTTAATTTACTTAACCATCTAATTCTTTTTAAAAAAGTCTGGAAGCATGTTTAACTTATCTTGGTCAATATACTCCTTCAGTACCTCATCATAAGCTTAAACAAATTCATGCTCTTTATCTTTGTATTCATTCAGCTTCTCATGATCATATAGATTAATATTCTAAGCTTTTTACATCTTGTCAATTACAGCGTATGCAAACTGCTTCGAAACTAATTTATTTTTCTTCATTCCATACTCCTAGAAATATTTATCCTGCATTAAAGTCTAGTCAACATCATCTTCACTTTCTGAATCGACAGACTTTGGTCTTTATTCTTAGGACTTTTTATTTTCTTAGTTTTGATCATCATCATTCGTTGCTACATCTTAGTTTCTCTACCTCTACTCATTAAAGAATTCCTTAATAGCCTCAAAGCCTCTTTCAGCACACACTAGCTTTGGAACCTTGAGGGGAGTATTCTCTACTACTATTTATTTCATATTTTATAGGTTTGCTATCTAAGGTGGCAGTTCCTAGATTTTTGAATGAGCTATACCCAGTACTCTTAGATTTTTTAGATATCTTATCAGTCCACTCAATTCGGTTAGTGGGTTTACATTTAGAATTAGCTCTGTAAGATGATCCTACATGTGCTCCGATTAATAGAACTCATTCGGGATTGTTGAAATCTTGTTGTAAATTGCTCGAAATTTCCTATCTTATTTATACAATTATAACTTACTAAAGTTTTGGACAATCTTTTATGTTGAGAGGAAATTAGTCAAGGTTATTAGAGCTTAAGTCTATTTCTCTTAAATTCTCAAAATCTTTGAAATTCCAATTAGGATCAAAGTTTCTTATTCTATTTCTGCTAAGATCTAAAACCCTAATAGAGTAATTGACAATTTAAATAATTACATTAGACTTTTAGAATGCCTAAGTGCTTTGAATGGAAAAATTTTAAAGTAATTGCTAGATAAATTGAGAGTAATTAACTTGACATTTTCTAATTTGTACTCTTCGTCTTTATTAACGCCAAAATAAACCTCCAATTTACTCAATTTATTTCCTTCAAGTGATAAGTTCTATAGAGTTGAACTCAATGTATTTGGCGCAAACATATCAAGTTGGCATCTTTCAAGCTTTAAAGTTTTAATAAATCTCAAAGCTGGTAGATCAGTCTGGCATATTTATACTATATGAGCTCTTAGATCTTCGTCATGAATTTCAAGAACTTCAGATTCAACATTCTCAAATTTTCTAATTATCTTATCATTCTTCAATCGATCAGTTTTAGGTTTTGCTTCTCCTCCAGGTGTGATCTCCATTAAATCAAAGTTATTAATATTTTGTAATTTAAATTATTATAATTAAAAATAACTAAAAGAGTATTCAAAAATGGATTACTCTAGTGGCTATCATGAATTAGCCTAGATTATTAAAGGAGTTCCTATCCAATGCATGGTATATAATTTTGGTTAATGATATTTTCAATAGGTTAGAGTTAAACCATCTATAGGTTATCAAAGAGAAGACATAAGAGTCAGTGGAAATAGACTTGGAATTTTAGATGTCAATAATAGAAGTAAGTATTCTTAAAATAAGAAATTCTTTAGTTAAGGAGGAATTTGAGTGCAATGAAATATTTACTCCAGAGTAAACAATGGCTAGAATATTTGATTCAAGTGTAATTAAGATGCTTTATAAGTTCATAGTTTCCACCTTATTTGAGGGCTCTAACGGAGGGTGTAAACGTTTCAGTTTTTATGTTTGGAGCAACTGGCAGTGGTAAGACTCATTGCATGGAAGGAAATAAATCAGATCCTGGACTGATATCACTTTTGGCTGATAATCTTTTCAATATTTTAGAGGATAAGAGATATAGATAAAATGCAGGGGGAGCAGGTGATATGAACCCTAACTTCACTTTTTCAGTAAAGGTCAGATTTATAGAAATAGTTGATGAGGAAATACATGATTTACTTTAACCAACTGGAGCATATGGCCATCATTCATTGAATGTTATCTTGAATGAATGGGAGGGTCCTATGGTAAATGGAGTAAACTGGATTCCGATGACAAATCAACATTAATTAGCTGATTTCTTTGTTAATGGATCTAGAAATCGAACAACTCATGCAAATGAATTCGGAAAATTAAGTGAGAAAGCAGCTGGAATCTTCTCAATAGAAATAACTTAAATTACTGATAATCCGCAAACAGGCGATACTCATGTATTGGTCAGTAAACTAGACATCATTGATATGCCAGGCAGTGAAATCTTAAATGAAGATCCTGAAAATGTTAGAGTAAAATAAGGTTCAACTCTGAATAGAGGAATGCTGAGTTTAAATAATCTTATGAAGGAATTATCTGTAAATCCTCATGGTGATTATGTATTTTATGACGGCTCTAAGTTAACTGAACTAATGAAAGATGTTTTGGGAGGTAATTCTCTTACTGTTGGTGTTTTTACTCTTTAGTATGGAGATCCAATAGGCTCTACACTAACAATGAGAGCATTTAAAAAATGTCAAACAATAATGAACTTTCCTGCTATTAATGATAGTAGAACTATAGGATTGTTAAGAAAGTTTAGAATCGAGCTTATTTCTCTATATAATCAAGTTAATATGAAGCCTGGAGATAATGCAGATAATTACAATCTTAAAATTGCCGAGTTGGAGAAAAAATTAATTGATGAAAATCTAGAGAAAATGAAATTTACTGATGAGAAAACTAAGTTGATAAATAGAATGCAAGAAATGAAAAGTAAATTCAATGAATTAGTGAGATCTAAAGCAGATCTTTAGGCTGAGTTGATCCAGAGTGAAGAAGAAAAACTTAAAGTCTCAAAAGCTTTGATTGAATTATAAATTGAAAATACTAAACTTCAAGAAATGATTTCAAATAATACTTTTGATGTCAATACAAAACTTTTACATGCTGAAAATGATCTTCTAGAATTAAATATCAAAGAGGAAAGAGCTGCAAAAGCTATCCAAGAATTATAGGAGAAATTAAGGGAAGCTTTAGATGATAAAAAAGAAATTGAAATTGAATTTGTAGCACTCAAGAAAAACTTTATAAATATTTAGCAAGATTTGGATCAGGAGAAGGTAAAGAATGAGAATTTAGGTATTGAATTAGTGAATTTAGTAAATGAAAATAAAGCATTGCAAAGTGACTCTAATCAAAACAATAGAAAAGCTGGCTAGATAGGCGATGATTTCTCCAGAATTGAAAGAAGAAATGAAAAACTAGCTCATGAATTATAGGAAACAAAAGAAGCTTTGATTGTAGCTAAAGGTGAAATTGAAAGATTAAAAACTGAATTGATAAGATATGATCTTTAAAATCAACAGAATAATATGGATCTAGACAACAAAAAGATGGAACTTGAGAGAGAATTCTTAGAGTTGACTAGAAATAAAGGTGTTGATAATGATAGATTACGCGTTGATGATCTTGAAGCTAATAAGAGACTTAATTTGGAAAGAGAAATGTGGGATGGAGAAAAGACAGATTTACTAAGAAAAATCAAAGAATTAAACAGAAAAATAGAGGAACTAACAGATGATATCAAGATAATAGAAGAATAAAATATAGAACTAAAGAGTGATAAAAATCGGATAATGTTGTAACTCGAGGAAATGAGAAGTGCTTACAGAAATAAACTTACAAAATACATGAATGAACATAATCCAGATTAAGCAGCATTGACGTGGCAAGCAAAAGAAGAATTGATCAGATCTTATACAGAAAAAGAGTAAGATTATGCATAGGCTCTAGATAGAAAAGAAAAAACAATTGAAGATTTGAGGAAAAAACTTAGAGCTTTAAAGAGATATGCAAGATAGCTAAAATATTTAGCAGAAGATTGGGCCCCTCTAGGACAGCCTTTACCAGAAATTTTGACTATGCCACCACCAATTAGTCTTGAAGATGATGACGATGATGATTATTTGAGAAGATAATAAACAGAGCTAGATAGAGTAAAAAACAGAAATAGAAATCTGGAGGAAGACTTAAGAAGGTTAACAGATGGAAGACCCATGGATAGTATTGGGCTTCAGGCCTAAGCAACTAACTATAGCAGAGGTATATAGCAATCGAATTTCCCATAATCAGTAAAGTCAAATGTCTCTGAATTGGATAGAATGAGAAATAAAGTAGCAGAATTGGAAAATGAACTTGCTAGACAATAAAATGCATATACAAGAAAATCAACACAAAAATCAGCAATTAATGATCCAGAAATGTTAAGGCTCAAGACATACATTTAAGATTTAGAGCAATAAATATCAGATTTGAAGAGAGCTTTATAAATGGCATAGCTGCAGTAAAACGACCCAAGGAAATCTTTAGCATCAATGCATTCAATGGGGGTTCAAAAAGTTGATGACATTCAAGAAAGATTACTGTAAGAAATTACCTATCTTAAAGGAAACTAAGATTTCTTGAATAAACCTGGAACCGGCTCTGCTGAAGTTGCTTAAATTAGAAGGGAAAGAGATGCTTTGAATGAAGAAAACAAGAAGTTAAAAGCATTAATGAATGAGGATTCAGCTGGTCCTAGCTCAGGCAATGCTAAATACCTTAAGAATAAAATATTCCATCTTGAAAAAACTTTATCTTAACTTGAAAAAGAGAGGTCTGAATTATCTGTTAGGGCAACAATGGCAGAGGAATAAGTTAAATAGATGCAAGAGTATATGTCACAAGCATAGCAAACTTATAAAAAGAAGGAATTTGACATGAAAAAAATGCTTAAATCAAAGGGAGTAGATGTTAGCATGTATTGAGAAATCTGACAAATTGCAAAAATGTAATAATCATATATATCTTCAAAATTCTTAAAGCCTTATATTAGATATATGGATATATGGGGTTTTGGGGTTTTGGGGTTTTGAAGATATATATGATTA